TCACAGGAGAGGAAGAAAAGGCCTTGTCAATACTTGGCACAAGTGCTTCAGATTAGTGGGGGTATTGACATCCATGGAGGAGTAGGGATAACTCAACCTGAGCCTGAGCCTGAGTCAGGTCCTTCATGCTCAGAGGAACCATCAGTTTCATCTGCCATCTCCCAGCACCTACCATCTCCTAGTCCTCCAAACAACCCTCCCAGGCCTAAGCCTCCATCTTCAGTGGTCCAGACTGCAGCCACAACACCTCAGCAGTTTGAGAATGTCTGTAGCTGTAGCCAGGACCTAGTGCAGGTGGAGAGGGAGAAGCTAGATGTCTTGAAAGACATTAGGCAATGCCTTCAAGAAGCCAATGAGAGAGACAACAACTTTCAACAGCAGCTCATTGAGCTCAAGAAGGCCAAGCTGGCCTTAGAAGAGAGGAGGCTTGCACTAGAGGAGCACACATAAATCCTTCATGTTCACCAATTCATCTGTGGGTCAGGAGGCACAAAACTCACAGGGACAGTCAGTGGAGGCTGCTTGGGGACAGTGGTTACCCACTGAGGCCATATCTCTTCACGTCTGTGGCTAATCCTATGAATAACAGGGAGACAAATTTCAACGAGGCACACCGTGTTGCATGTAGTATTGTGGAACGCACAATAGGGAGGTGGAAGATGCGCTTTCTGGCAATTCACCAGTCCGGCGGTGGTCTTTTGTTTGCTCCACAAAAGTGCTGTGCAGTAATAATAGTAACAGCTATGCTGCACAACATTGCAGTGCAGATGAGAGTGCCCTTACTTAACAGGGAGGAAGATGAAGAGGTGGAGGAGGTGGAGGACGAAGATGGCATGGGACCACATGGCTAACCAAGAAATGCCCAATACATGGCTGGTTTTCGTGCACGTCAGCAAGTCATTGACAGATTTTTTTTGAATTCATCCCTATTTTGCCCAGTCTTTAAAGCATATTTCTCACATTACTTCTTTTATGATTTTTTTTGTTCATTCATTTAATTTAAATGTGTATTTCTATTTTTTTCTTCCCTTTTTAATTATTTCATTTATTCATTTAAACAAAACACGAGTACAACAAAGTGTACAATAAAGTACAATCAAAACCTTATATTATACTCACGTTGCAGTGTAATCTGTTAAATCTAGATAAAAGTGTAATCTGCCGGATGTCCTGCAGGTGACCTCATAACTCTGTCTTCTTACGATGCACTTGGGGATTTACGATTACTCCAGAGCACTCGTAGTTCTACGAAGATTTTCAAGTGCTACTTAAGTTACGATGCTTTTGGGAAACAGACCATAGTATTAAGATCAGTCGTACGATAGTTTTTACGATCAATTTAGGCTTACGATGCTTTTGGGAAACGCAGCCCAGGCCTTACGGTTCGTAACGCACGTGATTCACATATTAATTGCAAAGTTTAAAAATCATAGAGTGAAAGTTTATCATTTGCACATTTTAGGTCCTCCCAGTTTAAACCTTCAAGCGATTTTAAAAGAAGACACGGAAGAGAACTCAGACCTCGCACGCTGTTTTCTGTGCGCACATAGAGTCGAATTCCGTTCCCTTTCACTCTATTTGTTCTTTTTCTTTTTTCACAATTTCACAATGTCTGTTTTTTCCAATATCATGCAGCCCTAGTTTCAAATTGTATTATACTACAATGTTGTCACATGACCCCATTAAAGTCACCATGAAATCAAAAACGGACAATTCTTATTTCTTAATTGAATAGCAGTGTTTATTATAAATGATTTATCCGCGTGCACATACTTTTTTAAATTCATGTTCCCTCTTAATCTTTAATCAAAGTAAATTCCCCTAACAATCCAATAAATTCTTGTAGGACAAAATAAAGTCCCACCCTACAGTTTTTCTTGTTCAAGAAGCCAATTCGCAACTTCCGTTTCATGCCAACTTTAAATTACATGTTTAACTGATAGGACTAGAGTTTTTCCATTAACATACTGAACATACCCTCAGTCTCGCCTAGATGTTGTTTAAGAAGAGCTTCTCCTCTCAAGCAGCTGAAATGAATCAACCTCAGCTTGATTTTTCGAGTCTGAATGATTCTGATCGCTGAATAGAGAGATATTGAATGAATAGGGGCTGTCCCTCAGCACAAATACCCAGAGTGCTCTATCAGAGCTGAAGAGTTGATGGCTGGTTATCAGCCTGTTGTATCTTGCAGTCCTGACATGCTCCGTCTGCTCAGCCGAGAGCTCTTTTGATGTCTCTGACTTCAAGTACATGAACAAGGCTATTAAACATGTAATGTCTCTGAAGCATGTAATCTGATTTAGTACATAAGTTTAACATGATGGATCAGCCCCGCTGGCGGATGAGGGCTGATGGTGTATCTGCTCACACACACACACACACTTGCACACACTTGCACAGTAGAAGGTTTGCGTCTTGCACGGTACATACGGTTTGCATCAGATACATAAAAACACATTTCTTTACGTTTGAGAAATGGTGGATTTAATCTTCTAAGGGCTTGGAGTGATGCAAAATAAACACACAATTTTGTACATAAGCAGTGTTTGCTTATGTGTAATTTTACTGGACTGGTCTACACAGACATTTGCTGATAAATCTGGAGGCTTTTTAAGAGAGGAAACATTTGTCAGAGCCATTACTCATTTTTAATCACACACACTAACATTTTACACACACACACACACACACACACACACACACACACACACACACACACACACACACACACACACACACACACACACACACACACACACACACACACACACACACACACACACACACACACACACACACACACACACACACACGCGCGCGCGCGCGCACACACACACACACACACACACACACACACACACACACACACACACACACACACACACACACACACACACACACACAGAGAGAGAGAGAGAGAGCTTGAAATGAAGAGCATTAAAGGAGCTGTGATTTAAGGATACACACACACAGAGAGAGAGAGAGCTTAAAATGAAGAGCATTAAAGGAGCTGTCATTTAAGGATATTAGTGAAGCTCTTGAAAATGAGACAAAAAAGACAGTGTTCTACACATCTGAAGTAAGATATGAAAACTTTGACCATGTGCAGAGGCATGAGATCATTATTTTTACATTAAACATAGCACTCTGCTGCCCATCGTTTTGTAATTGGTCTGCTCCCTCTTGTATTTTTTTGGACAAAGATTGTAATGCACTTTTTATTTTGTCATTGCGATTCCTAAAGAATGTGTGATTTGAATAGTTTTGCAATCCCTTCTTATCTTATAATACAGTAGTAAAAATTACATTGGAATAGATTCGTTTTGTGAATCATACAAACTGTCAGCTTCAGTGAATTGATTCAAAGCTCAGATTCAATGATTCCTTTGGTTCATCACTCAGAATTGTTCACGGAATGTTTAGTGAGAAAATATGTCACATATACACCACTGTTCAAAAGTTTGGGAATCTGTTTTTTAAAAGTCATTTGTGCTTACCAAGGCTGCATTTATTTAATCAAAAATACAGTAAAATAGCAATTTTGTGAAATATTATAATTTAAAAAACAAGTTTTCTATTTGAATACATCATCAAATGTAATTTATTCCTTTTTATTCCTGGCGAAGCTGAATTTTCAGCAACATTTCTCCAGTCTTCAGTGTCACATGATTTTTCAGTAATAATTAGAATATGATAATTCTACATATATTTATATATATTCTTTTGTTTTCATTTGGCATTAGATGTTATAAATATAGGCTAAGCCCTGTTCACACTGACACCGCTACAAGTTGCCAAGTCATGGTGCTGTTTCTAGTAGGCGTTCCTACTCTGAACTGTATTGAATGTCTCACTTTTCCTTCCTGTAGTGTACAGTTTTCAGCACGAGAAGTGTCTATCTCTCTGTAGCTGGAGTATAATAATGTAATTGATTCGTTCTGTAAGCAGAGATATGTGGCGATACACAGCTCCCCTGCAGAGACGAGCTTTGTCATATTGAATATTGATCTTCCTGTCTAGAGTTCTCAGTGGATGAGAAAGTTCTGTGTCAGACCGGAGCACTGCGCCTCGGCTTCCTCTGCTGTTCTCCTTTTATCAGAACACTTGTTTTTCTGTGGGGTAAAGATTATTTTATTTAGCAGCTTGGCAGAACAATGTTTGCTGGAGGTAGACAAGCGTACGCCTACTGGAGAGTGCAATGCTTATGTTGTGTAATGTCTTTTAGCACAAACAGCATATCCGGTCTATAGCAGGAATAGTCTTCATACTGTTTATTAATGGTCCTTAAAGACACGAAACAGCATGTGCATTTCATTTACATCACACTCATTTCCATAATGTTCATAATGCTCACCAAGGCATTTGTTTGATCACAAATACAGTAATGTTGTGAAATATTATTTCTATTGAAAATAACTGTTTTCTATTTGAATTTTCAACAGGCTTTACTTCTTAAATGTCACATGATCCTTCAGAAACCATTCTAATATGCTAATTTGCTGCTCAAGAAACATTTCAAGAAACAGTTGTGCTGCTTAATTTTTTTGGAAAACACTTTTTTTTCAGAATTCTTTGATAAATAGAAATGCAAAAGAACAGCATTTAATTGAAAATAGAAATCTTTTGTAACATTATAAATAGCTTTACTGTCGGTTTTGATGACGCTTGAATGTGTCCTTGCTGAATAAACGTATATTTCTTTAAATTCTTACTTTAAATTATTAGGAAATACTGTTCAGCAAGGCTGGTTTTTAGTAATTTACATTTATTGTAAAAAGTACTATTAAAAATGAACAATATTTTGTCTTCGCTGGAAAGCCATTTTAGAGGCTTAAAAAGTTCTTGCATTTTGTTAAAATATTTTTTCTCTTTAGAGTAACCTCTACTAATAAATTGTGCATCATAAGATTTATTATGATTCAATAAGATTCAATTTACTTCATGTCGCCTTTAACCCCCAAAAAAATTTTTATACTCATATCAATTTTTTTTTCTGTTAGAAGGACATGACCCTGAAGCCCCACGAGCGGAGGCAGAACCAGGCAGGACCGCTGCGCAAGAAGAAGCCCGGCCGAGTGCCGAACGGACTGAACATAGACCTACACAAAGACCGACTCAACCACAACAACCACCAGCACCACCAGTCAGACCAGGAGAACAACCCTCGCCTGGCCCATACACATGGCAAGAAGAAGAAACACCTGCAGAAGAAACACCGACCTGTGAGTTTAACTTTAGCTCGCTACATGTGTCCAAAAATCACGATTGTGATCTGTTCAAACAGGAGCTGGGAGCCTTGGTGTATTTGGCAGATTTTGTTGGTAGATTAAAGGCATTCTATTGATTTCTATTGAAGTGCATGAGCTTCAGCATTTGGTTGGAGTAAAATTGGTGTCAGACGGAGCTGTTGAATAAAGTTTATTTCTGCTGCGAAATTATAAATAGTAGTCAATAGTTTTATCATGATTAAAATCAATCTATCTATCTATCTATCTATCTATCTATCTATCTATCTATCTATCTATCTATCTATCTATCTATCTATCTATCTATCTATCTATCTATCTATCTGTGTGTTTTATATATCTATATGTGTTAACATTTCTATTTTTTTCCCTTCATTTTATTTCTATTTCATTTCATCTAATATTTCTATTTTATTTTATTTCAGCTTTATTTAAATAATCAAAAATAGGTTTAATAGTTTTTGTTTTAGTCAAAGATAATAACCCTGTTCTGGATGGGCTACTGTCTGTTCCCTTTGCACCTAATTATAGTTTACCTCAAGGCACCGCTTTGTTTCAGTGTGTTTTCAAATTAAATCATGATTAGATTGTGTACTGAGATAATGCAAACCTACAGTCATGTTAATTTCTCAAAGCCGTGTATAATGTCTATGTCTTCACTGAGAATGACGGAACAACAGAAGAGGTGCGCCAATCTGACTCCATTAAGGCAGAGCTCATTTGAATCAAGTAATTGTCGATGATCATTAGCCGTCTCTGTCACAGCGTAAGACTTATTACCGATCTAATCGAAGGAGGTAATTTAATATGATACTAGGTTTTACAGGCAGGCTGGTTGTTGGATCTTTCAGACATTACACAATGAAAAAAGTGTGGACTGATTTACAAAAGTGCTAAAGCAGAGAGAGAGAATAATAGAGATTGTGTCCTCTAAGATTAGATGTGTAAAGGCACTGCTGATTAACTCTGTCATTAAGGATGAACGAGGAGCGGATGGGCTCTGGCTTTTTTGGACTTGTTTTATGGTGCTAATTAAATTAGTCACTCTTGTTATTGTTGCTGCGAGGTGCTGCTCTCTTGCTCTTTGTGTTTGTGTGTGTTTGTGACATCCTCTTGTTTTTACTAATGAGTATTTATGGCATGTTTACACAGAGGAATTGCCACTACAGAGCAAGCAATCAGATGGCCACACACTCCATTAAACACACACACACACACACACTCATGTACGCTTTAAGGCACAGTTCACCCCAAAAATATTCTGTCATCATTCACTCCCTAATGTGGTTCCAAGACCAGTATGAATTTTTTTTTTTTTTCACATGGAACATTATATAATTTGTTTTTAAGGACAACTGTTAAGCACAAATAAACACAAGCGGTCCATAGACTTTAAGTACATTTGTGTGACATAAACACCAAAATTGTAATTTGCTGACAATCCTCCTCTCTGGTGAGCTGTGAATCACTGTATTGAACCGATTCATCTAACTGATTCATTGAAAAGTTATGGCTCAAAAGAATGATTCATTCACTCATACATGCACCAAGAAGAGCTAGGTATGATGTCAACATTTTTGAAGTTTATACCTTTATGATGCATTTGAATCCTTTTTGAAGCTTTCCCATTCATTGTTATTGGGTGTGGCTAGTACATTCTTTAAAATGCTCAGCCATGTGGGTTTGGAACCACATGAGGATCAGTAAATGATGACATAATTTCTTTTTTTGGGGTTGGTGAAATATATCTGATCTAATAATAATGATCTCCCCACCCTCGTCCGTAATGCAGAATCCCTGACAGCATTCACAAGACAACTGAAAACTCATCTCTTCCGTGAGTACTTAACATAAAAAAAAATAATAAAAAAAACAAACAAAAAAAACCTTCTCTTTAATCTTTCCTTCCCTTTTAAAATCTTCCCTTGTCTGGCTTTTGCTACTCTGAGCAATGCCTGAACTTTGTATTTTGAGCACTTCTTGCATCGTTCTTCCCTCTTCACGATGACTCAGCCCCTAGGCGTCATGAAACTGACGCCTTGGGAATCATTTTGACCATGCTTCAATATTTGACGCTTTAGGCACCCTTTAGCGTCAGTTACATGACGCGATCCTAGGGCGTCATCGCACTGACGCTTTACCTTTAACGTCAGTTAGATGACGCTATCTAATCGTAACCCTACCCCAGACCTAAACCTACCCGCGTCATCTAACTGACGCTAAAGGTAAAGCGTCAGTAAGATGACGCCCTAGGATCGCGTCATGTAACTGACGCTAAAGGGTGCCTAAAGCGTCGAATATTGAAGCATGGTCAAAATTGTCATTTTAGTGACGCCTTGGGATGAGAATGCGTTGGATGACTCGCTTGCTTTAGTCCTCAGATGTAAGTCGCTTTGGATAAAAGCGTCTGCTAAATGACTAAATGTAAATGTAAATATCTTTAAACTTGGGATGCACAATATTGGCTACCATATCTGTATCGGTCAATATATTAAAGCCGATAAATAATGTATTATTTCCTTCAACCGAGACACTTCAGATACGCACTGTTCGCCATGATGTTTTTAAATTGCTTGAAATGATTAGAATCACTTTGAAAAAGAAAATACAGTTAAGTGCAACATGCAAGTCTGTCACATAAGCTACACAAAATTTTAATGAGAACATCATTATAATTGTGTGATTGGGACATGATGAGACTTTTGTTTTTGTAATCAGGCTCTCAAAAATTATTTAAAAATTTCAGATTTAGATTTATCGGCTAAAATATCGGTCATCGGCTTTCAAATATAAAGAATTATCGGTTATCGGTATCGGCCACAATTTTCATAAAGGTGCATTGCTACTTTAAACACATTTTCATAGGCATACACACACTTTTCTCCATAGATACTAGAAGCTGTAGACAGGAAGGGTACAGGTACCATTTGTCCTTGTTAGAGAGAGAGAGAGAGAGAGAGAGAGAGAGAGAGAGAGAGAGAGAGAGAGAGAGAGAGAGAGAGAGAGAGAGAGAGAGAGAGAGAGAGAGAGAGAGAGAGAGAGAGAGAGAGAGAGAGAGAGAGAGAGAGAGAGAGAGAGAGAGAGAGAGAGAGAGAGAGAGAGCAGCTCTCTTGTTCATCATGTGTATTCTGCCCATGGCTGAATTAAGAGCAGACAAATCCATCTCTCATGGAGCAGGCTGAGGGAAGTGATGGCTAGGACACTTTAAGCTTTTATCAAACACCAAGGCAATGGCCATAAACTTGAGTTACGCTGGATGGTGAGGAATTAAATTCCTTTTCTTCACCGTTTCATCCACTTTCTCCCTCACCCAACTTTTCTGCCCAGCTGCATATATTGTGCTGCACAGGTGTGAGTTTGACCTCGAGGGCTATATCAAACATGCAAATGTTTCCTGGATATATACAACTTGTTTCTAGCAAACAGTTGATGATAGATTTGTAAACAATGGATGAATACGTATTCTGTTTAACAATGTGGTTTGTTAACCAGTTTCATAATCGGTTTATGTATGTACTGTATGTATGTACACTACCGGTCAAAAGTTTGAGGTCGAGATTTTTTCATGTTTTTGACTCTTATGCTCACTGAGGCTGCATTTATTTGATCAAACATATGTAAAAACAATCTTTTGTAATACTGTAATATTTGATCAGTTTATTGTGTCCTTGCTAAATAAAATAATAATTTTCTTCTTCAAAAAAATAATTTTTACACTTAAATACATCAATATATTCAATTAGCCGAAATATATGTGCGAACTGTAGAACTATGTGTTTTATACTACTGTATTTTGATTTCTACTTTAAAATCGGGTTTTCTTACTGTTTTTTTTTCTAGGTCAGAGGAGCCCATATTTTATTTTTTGCTTGTGTGTGTATTTTGTGTGAATGAGAAAGTTGTGTGTGTGTGTGTGTACGTAGGTTTGAAGTTCCAGCAGATGGGTCTCAATGTTTCCTGGTGAGTTGACTCAGTTGACAGCTCTGACTCACCTTTATATTGCTGTCACACAAAATATTGTTCACAGTCTTGGCTTCAGAACCCTTGGCTGCCCTCTCCTGAGCCCTGAACAGCTGTCCACTACAGTGCCTGTGTGAAGAGCACTGATTTAGAAAAACGGGGAATCTGGCGGGCGACCCTGGGGAAGGCTGATAGGATCCAGTGGAGCACTCATATCACATACGGCCAGGGAAACATGATTATCCATCCATCCATTTTCCAAACCGCTTGTTCTATGTAGGGTTGTGGGATGCTGGAGTCTATCTATCTATCTATCTATCTATCTATCTATCTATCTATCTATCTATCTATCTATCTATCTATCAATCAGTTAATCTGGGTTATTATTTTTTTTCACCCTTTTTTTTTTTGGCTAGTAGAAGTTCTGAATGGCCGGTAACTTAAACATTTAGTAGCCAGATTGCTCTTATCTTCTGTCTGTGTGACACACACACTACTCATGTGGACAGAAAGCTGCTTCAGACAGCGCTTGGACAAAAACTATGACTATGATGCAGGAGAAAAAAGTTCAACACTCTTCAGCAATAAAAAACAATACAAACAAACAAAAACACAAAAGCGATGTTTATCTAAAGCTATTTTTACTTATTAGTAAGGTTGAATTGGATCATCAAAAGTCAGCAGCAAAGACAATGGTGAATAATAATAAATGAGATTAAATACATAAAAGTATATTTCTTTTATTTAACATATTTAATTATTGCAGGTTTGCGTAATATTCTAAGTTTGCATTTCACTGTTTTTATTCATTTTGAGGAATACTGAATCTGTTTATGTGCAAGTCAGATGAGTAAATGCATGCTCACATTTAATCTAGAGCTACAATAATCTAGAAAATTTTGATTAAAGAAATCATTTTGATTTCTAAAGGATCATGTGACAGTGAAGACTGGAGTAATGGCTGGTGAAAATGAAAATTCATCTTTGCCATCACATGAATAAAGTACATTTTATAG